TATATTTATATATAATTTATTTTTAGTTATGATATCAAATGTTATAGCAAAAATATAAGTACGAGTAACCTTTCTCGTCACTTAATTAATGTGCATAAAATATCAGAAAAAACTAATAATAATAAATCCATTCAAACTCTAAAAATGTTTCTAAAGCCAACGCCAACATGTAGCAAGAATATAAAAGATAAAAAATGGCTCTTAGGTTAGTATTAATGTTTATTAATATTCATTTTAAATTTTTAACTGGTTTGTTAAATTAATTTTATTAAGCTCTATTTGTTCAAAACAACTAAATTTTTTAGTTTGTTTTGTCAGCTCTTATTTTGAGAACTTTTTAATGTACAAACTTAATATATAATCTATTAAAATAATTATGTAAAACTTTAAAACAACTAAATTTTTAGTTTGTTTATTGTCAGCTCTATTTTGAGATCCAATGCATAAACTTATGTATAATTTAAATTAATAAAATAATTATGTAAAACTTTAAAACAACTAAATTTTTAGTTTGTTTATTGTCAGCTCTATTTTGAGATCTTTTTAATGTATAAACTTAATATATAATTTATTAAAATAATTATGTAAAACTTTAAAACAACTAAATTTTTAGTTTGTTTATTGTCAGCTCTATTTTGTGATCCTTTTAATGCATAATTTAAATTTATTAAAATAATTATTTAAAACTTTAAAACAACTAAATTTTTAGTTTGTTTATTGTCAGCTCTATTTTGAGATCCTTTTAATGTATAAACTTAATATATAATTTAAATTTATTAAAATAATTATGTAAAACTTTAAAACAACTAAATTTTTAGTTTGTTTATTGTCAGCTTTATTTTGAGAACTTTTTAATGTACAAACTTAATATATAATTTATTAAAATAATTATGTAAAACTTTAAAACAACTAATTTTTTAGTTTGTTAATTGTCAGCTCTATTTTGAGATCCTTTTAATGCATAAACTTAATGTATAATTTAAATTTATTAAAATAATTATGTAAAACTTTAAAACAACTAAATTTTTAGTTTGTTTATTGTCAGCTCTATTTTGAGATCTTTTTAATGAATAAACTAAAAATATATTTTATTAAATTATGTAAAACTTTATTTTGAAAGTTCAAAACTAAATTAAATTTTTTATTTGTTTCTCTTTTTTAAATATCTTTTTTCTAATAGGGCGAAATTATGTTTTGATGTGCTGCTTAGATTTATTGCCATTTGATTCTAGAAGCAATAATGGGATGACAGATTTTCTAAAGGTTTAAAATTTAAATAAAATGAATATTAAAAAATAAATTGCCTAAAAAAATAGAAATATAAGATAATTGATTCCTCATCAGAATTGTCTAATAGGACAACTATTAGTCGGGGAGCACTTGATGATGTTTATTGTTCTATAAAGGCACATGTTTTAAACCTGATTGATGCTGGTCCAAAATTCTGTTCCATTACTTTTGATTTATGGACCGATCATTTCAAGCGGCGAAATTATATTACATTTAGTCTTCATCATTTAGATGAAAATTTTGATTTAAAATATTTTACCATGGCAACCCGAAATGTGACTCAAAAGCATACTGGGGAAACCATATTATCGGAGATTGATGGTATCGAAGAGGAGTTTCATTTAAAAGCCAAAATACATGGTAACTGATGCAGGGGCAAATGTCAAAAGAAGCGTCAGATTGGGGGATTATGAGCATCATTTATGCTTAGGCCATGGACTAGATAATTTGGTTACAGTTGATGGTATAAAAAAAGTTGCCAGAATTGATAATCTCCTTAAAAAAATTAGAGAAATTATTTCAGCCCTCAGATATCGAGTAGCTGATTTGGAATGTGAAATTGAAGATGAGCATCGTAAATGTCTCCAGTCAATTTATGAGACAGGTCATATCTTGGATATTGATGATTCTGATCCATACCTTGATGACCATTTTGATAATGAAGCCGATAATAGAAATGTCATTACACCAACCAATCTATATAATACAAAAACGTTATAATTAAATTGCCCTACCCGCTGGCACAACATATTAATTATGCTAGAAAGTGTTCGTAGCGTGAACAAAAATCCTATTAATAATGTTTTGAATAAAATAGGAAAACAATGTTTAAAACTTAATAATAATGAATGGGATATGATTGACGAGCTTTATGCCGTATTAATTCCATTCCGAGAGTCGGTGGAATTTCTTTTCTCCCAAAGGGGATCGACTATAAATCTAGGGTTATTATTTCGCAGTGAAATAGAAACCCACATACAGATCAATATATCTGATTCCTCAGATATTATTTGTTGCAAAAAAAGCTTGACCATAGGTTTCCCATTACTGAACTTCAATATTTTATATTTTTATTAATAAAATTATATTTTGAACATTAGATATTAGCGACTCTCCTTGATCCCAGATTTCAAAATCTGAAAATTGTGTCAGAATATTTAAATTCAAATTCTACTACATCATTGCAATTTTTAACAAGACATTTAAAACTTTTAGAAAATGTTAAAAATGCACAAAGTAAAATCCAAGTTGAAGATAATGGGGAGACTTCCATTCCAGTTCTTATATCGCCAAAATAGCTCGTAAACATTCCATTCCAGGCAGTGATTATAACAATATAAGTAATTTAGAACAAGAATGCCATATTTTGCTAAGCCAAAATAATATCCCAGAAGAGGATGCATTAACCTTTTGGAAGAAAAAGCAACTTGAACTTCCTAGGCTTGCTAATTTAGCTAGGAAGGTTCTTTGTATACCTGCAATTAGTACACCCAGCGAAATTTTTTCCATTGCTGGATTAATACTCAATGCAAAAAGGAGTTCTTTATGTCACACCAATCTTGATAAAATTCTATTTATTCATGATAATTATAATTTAGCTAAATCTGAATTCTGATTTATTATATTTCTTACTTAATATTTTGTTTGCATTCCAAATATATATTTGTTATAATAAAAATCAATAGAATATTACTAATATGTGTTGTTTATGTGACTCTGATCTGAGTGAAAATGCAATTCCTTAGTCTATTTCTGAGAATGAGAAAATACATGAATTTAAATTGAAGTGAGACAGGAAATAATTTAAGAAATCAACTATGTTAACAATGTGTTAGAAAAAAGCGCCAAATTATAAAAAAAATGTAATACATTGATTTATAAATTAAATTTATTAAAAAAAAATTTTTAAATAAATATCGCGCCGCCGACAATTTAGTAGGCGGCGGCGAAATCGGCGCGCCGCCGAACGCCGATAAAAAATTTTAAAAAAACCGCCGCCGTCAATTGAGACATCGGCGCACAGGTCTAGTTTCAGTTTTAAACAATACAAGTTTTAACATTATAATTGAAAAAAAATCTGTTTTTTATTATTTAAAAAACAAATGAAAAAAAATAATTTTAATCAAATTTATAATTATAACTGTTCAAACGAGAGTGTTGCATAATCTGAAAAATTCCGAAGGGTTTCAGGCCGGGCCTATTTTTAAAAAAAAATCTGCTTTGGGCTAGGTGTGCCAAATATTTTTAAAAAAAATTCCGGCCAGGTCGGGTCGGGCCTTGGAATTTTTTTAAATATATCTAAATTTAACAATTTTATATTGAATTTTTCAAGATTGAACTTGATTTGGATATTTAGAATACTTTTAGATATTCGTTTATATTTATAAGGGGGGGGATTATAAAAAAGCATCTTTTCTCCTGTCCAGAATATATAAAATCAATTTAAATTTTTTATAAGTTAAATTATCTGAAATTTTTATTTTAACATTTTTTAAAAACTTCTAGTTAGTAAAAAATGTGTTATTTTAATTAATTTTTAAAAACAAAATATTTTTATCTTAAAAATGGGTTTTATTTTTAATTTAATCAATATGTTCAATAAATCGTCATTCGGGTCTGAACCCCGGGTCGGCCTGAGCACATAAAAGGGTCGTAAATTTTACGACCAAGCAAATTAACAACACTAAGTAGTGGGTCCTGAAATTTGTTTTATACCTAAAACAAAGAAGTCATTTTGAAAATAATTTAAAATATTTTTAGAGCTCCATGAAATTGTAAATGCTAGTGACTTCCCTTATTTGTGGGTAAGGCTTTTGTAATTTCAGCAGGACTTCTTCATTATCCTAGGTGTTTAGCAAATTTTTAAATTAAACATAAATAAAACTACCTTGTGAATTTCGTCATTTTGAATTAAACTTAATTTCCATTCATTTTTGCAGATTTTTCATATAAATTATAAAATACACAAAAATTCACTGTCCGAAATTCTTGTCGTACTCACGTGATTAAATTAGAATCGAATCCTTCAAAATTAAAAAACGTGCAATTAATTTGTTTCAAAAAATTCCCTAATGGCCTACACGTTTTAATAGTAATTAAAATATACTATATAATTTTTTTTCTTTAGTCAAACCTAAATTATTATTTTTATATTTATTTTGCAATCATGAAAAGGAGGCGCGTATTTTAGTCATGTAAAAAAATTATTTTTTAAAATTTTCACTATGTTTCCTTTTTTTAAAAAATATTTTTTAAAATAAAAAAAACATTTTTTAACTCATCTTATAAAGCTAAATACGATTCTATATTAATAAAATTTAAATTAAGCTTCTTTGATAGGGGGCGCGTAGTTTTCGGGGAGGGGGGCATGTTATGCTTTATTAGGAGGAATATAAATTATAATATGAATGAAATATTTATATTTTTATAATAAAAATTATTTAATCCTAATATAATATTTAATAATGATTAAATGGAAAATAAATGATTACAATCTGAAATATTTTCAAAATGGTTTCCTTCACCTTTTATATAAAATAAATAAAATTATAAATTTTATTAAATATTATCCTAATATAAAATATGTCATATAGGGCCCTTACAAAAATATTAATATATTTTATATATGTAAAAAAGGGGATATAACTATTAAAGACATAAGTTTTTACATCTATTTTTTTGTGTGTATCATAAATATAATTCTTAACTACCTTTCCCATCTCGAATATTAGCATAAATTACGCCAACCATTGCCTGAGAATAATATGAGAATTTTAAACCCCAGTGATCTCTACAATAATTGCCCTAAATTATATAAAGAAGAATAAAATGAAATTTTATATTAATATGTTTTACCTATAAGTCCCATCACCTTCAATTTGCTCCAAGATGGTGGGTTCACTACCACCAACTGTTTCCCCAAAGTTTGGGAGGCTTGACCATATATTTTGGCATGATATTTTTTCCATGCCTTTGTTCTAGGAAGAAGATATGTAGGGATATTTCCTAATTTATTTATTCTCAAAATATCATCATTTAATTAAAATAAATCAAATACATAATGTAATATAAATTGGCAATTAATAATTTTCTCAAACCATGCTTTAGTAAAATTATTATATTTATTTATATATTGAGATCCAATCAAATTAATAATGAGAAAAAATTTTTTATTTTTATATTTCAAATAGAAATTCTAATATTTTAATATGAAAAAAATATTTATTCACCAATAGCATTTTAAAGTATTTGACCGTATTTGCCCAGGTCAAATACTCTTTCGGTCAATTGACCGATTTGCCAACCCTGCCTAGAGGCATCCACGACTTAAAGTTCTTGCCCTGGTTCTAAAAATTTTTTAGCTCGGAAAATTTTTTAAAAAAACACCGAGCCAGACCGGGGTTGCAGGTCTCTGACATAAATAAATTAAATAAACAAGCATTGTTTATATTTTAAATTTTTTATAAAATATTATAATTTGTTATTTAAATCAAAAATGAATATATTTTAATAAATGAAAATTTTATTTTGTAAAAAATGCTTAAGGAAGGCCAAGGTTATATTGTCCATAAAGAATTTAAGTGCTATAAAAAAGAGATTGGCAAATTCTCAAAGTAGAAATTAATATTTATGAAAAAAATATTTTAGTTTTTTATTTATAAAATTTTAAAAAAATGAAAATTGTGGCATAGTGCATTTTTATTTTAAGTATATTTATATTGTATAAAAATATTAATCCTAACTCCTAAGTAAATAAATGGTCAAATTTACCAGGTTAATTTATAATTATTTATAACACCCGGAAGAACTTGTCACTTAAAACCATATAATTTACAAAAAAAGTCAATCTATTGTCGTTCGTGCTTCTAGACAATCCAGTGGCTTCTAATCTAATGTTTCTATAAATTAAAAATTTTTTTCTATTCAAAATAATTCCTGCTTTAAAATGGCTAATAAATACCCCGCCAAACCTGCCAATGTTCTTATCAATTAAATAAAATTTGATTTCAAGATATTAAATTACAAAAAAAGATGTCAATATTTTTTATACATGATAAAATTGAGATTAGTTTATCATTTATAATTGATATTTAGTGGTATTGAACTAATAATATAGCCTATTCAGATATTTCCCCAAGGGGAATTAAAATAGGCACATTAGATCAAAAAAGCTGTAATAGATGCTTTTTGCAGTTTCTTTTTTCCTGTAACACCTTAGAAATAATTCGATTTAGCAAATTTCCTCTATTTGGATATCTGAACTTTTCATAAACACTAGAAAGTTACCGAATCATATTTATTAATAGATAAATTAAATGAATCTTTTTTGATTGATAAAATTATCTTATATCCATTATTGTTTACTGTTTTAAACAAAATAAAAATAAACTTAACATTTTTGTGAGATAAAATTTAATACAAAAAAAATATTTAAATATTAACTTTTTGCTAATATTTAAAATATAATATAATCTATTTGAAATATTATATTTTTTGAAAGATTATTGCTAAGAGGGTGGGGGGGGGGGGTAATTTTTTCCTCTCTGGTTACGCGCACGTTATAAGTAAAGTATGATCTTTACCTAATAATATTTATAAAACGATATACTTGTTTAAAAATATGCAGAAAAAACAAACGCTATTACGCACTTTTTGACTCCATAAAATTTGTCTTGATTTTAAAATCAATAAATAATATTTTTATTTTGCTGTTTATAATTTAATACGTGATGAGTTTAAAAATTACTTAACCCACCCGCTCGTTCGTTTTATAAAATTATTTTACTCTCCCGCTCCATGGATGGGCTGGCGTGGGCTAAAAACCCGCTCGTTTCAGCAAAAAATTCAAAAAAGCTTAAAAATAACGATTCTGACAATTGCCACTTTACTATTACAGTACATCTTCAAAGAAATTTTAATTTAACAAGTTTACACTTTATATTTTTACCCATTTGCTTCAAAAAAGTTTAAAGATAACGATTATAACAATTGTCATTTTTCTATTTAATCTTCCCTTCAATTTAACATGCTTATAATTTTTTTTTTTTAAAGTTTATAAATAACGATTATGACGATTGTCATTTTTCTATGGTTTATCTTCATTGAAATCCCAATTTAACATATTTATTATTTATATTTTTACCCCGACTATACCGTGATTCAAGTACGACTCAAAAATTCGATTTAGTCAACTAAATAGGTCAACTAAGCCGACTAAATCGATCGATTAAGCCGTCTAAATGAATAAACTTGTTGACCAATTTAGTCGCTCGAGTTTTCAATTTTTTTACTATGATTTTTAGTAATCTTTTAGCCGACAACATTACTAATTGCTAATAATGACTATTATATTTTGAAACATTCATTTTTATGATCATATTAATTGAATAATATTTTTTTAAAGTTTTTATTTTCTTTAAACCTTAATAAATTTATTTTGCTATCCTGTCCTATGTATTTCTTCGATTTCTTATTTTATAAAACGCGCAAATGAAACTAAGGCTTTATTAACATATTAATCATTGGATTCATTAGCTAAACCTAGATCCTTATTGGCGAAATTGATATATGGTTTGCGCTAGTCTGAAGTCTATAATATGTAAAGATTCATCAATCAGTTTTGCCATTCTTTCCAAGAGTTATAAGCTATTAGACTGTCTTCATTGAATAGTAATTCAAAAATAAATTGCATCTAAGTGAAATAAGGGATTTCTCTAATTCAAAATATTTGGATTCTTATGATCTTTATAGATATTTTTTTTTATTTTTTCTGTAAATTATTAGTTCAAAATTAACTAGGAATCTGAATTTAATATTGAGACTGAAGTTTGCCAAACTTTTCCTACACTAATTCGGTAGTTTAAGCCAATATGCAATTAACTACAATACATATAGATTAGTGCTATAGCATATATTATTTTTTTCCCTTAATTACTTATAATTAAAACTACTTTAATTTTACTGAATTCCTAAAATATGATTATGCTAAGTAAAAATTTTAATTTTTCAGAATTGAATTTCTTAGAAAATATAATATATTGCTCAGGAAATATTTACTATTTATCTTTTAAGTGCATAAGCAAGATTTTTTGAGTTTTAAAATTAATCATTATTCCGTGTCTTTATAACTAGGAAAATTGAATAAAATAATTTTGAGAAATTTTAAAAATTACTTAGCAAAATTTTCTATGATTTTTAAAAAATCTGAGAAAATTATCAAAAATTCTTAGCTTTTAGTATTTTTTATTTCGTGGTGAATTTATTAGGGTAAAAATCTGAACCAAATACCTACTCCGTACTTAGAACCATGCATGAGAAGAGCCCAGAAAGATATTGGTTAATTTATTATTTATCTTATCAGATGAAGGTCATATGCTTACAAATACGTAACAAAAGATCCATAAAACATTTAACGTTTATAATCTAAGGAAATATTGTTAGTAAATTAATATTCAATATCTTGTTATCCTTTAAATAATTTCCTTCACAATATATTTATTGTTTTGAGGTAATGCGCTCGCAATAATGACTGCAAGCAAACACATCCGCGGTAAAAAATTCGCCATAAAAGTTTTGCTAAAATGTATTGGCGGTTAAGGTTTCGCGGAAATAAATTTACGATAATGGTTTCGTGATATTGTCTTCGCAATAAATTTTTCCATCCGCGGTAAAAAATTCGCCATAAAAGTTTCACTAAAATGTATTGGCGGTTAAGGTTTCGCGGAAATAAATTTACGATAATGGTTTCGTGATATTGTCTTCGCAATAATTTTTTTGCGAAAAAAATTTCCGGAATGGGTTTTGCGATTATAAAATTCCTTCGCGATAAAAGTTTCGTTGAATTGACCTGATGTTCTCAGTGACATATCATTATAAACATTATTATTAGTTTTCTCATAATTTAAAATATTTGGTGAATCATTCATTAATGTATTATATCATTAAGAATTATATAGTAATAAATGGCCAAATTTCACATGATTTGAAATCATTTTGAACTGTAGCTGGAACACATGCTTTAGGCAAAATATCCTTGACTAACTATGTCATAAATTATAAAATGTTCCAAAGAGCCATTGTAATTTATGGGTGCAATGTGGTTGGAGAGTTAATAATATTATCCATTGTTCTAAGCAAAGGTGTTTTGGGCTTTCATGGCTAAAACAGCAGGCTTATGGAAAGTTGTTAAATCAAAAATAATTCGTATAATAATAGCAAATAATTCATATAATAAAGCATAGTCTTAACGTATAAATTAATTATATGCATATTATCTGTCATAAATTATTTCAATCATTTAATTTTATAAAGAACATATGATTACAAAATATTAATGACCCTTCTATAATATTATAGAGATTATATTTGTATATATATTCATTAATTTGATGAGTAATTCTGATATTTTAATAAATATTCCTACCTTATATGCCTTATTTATACACTTTTGAAACTATATATAAAAAAAATTAGCTAAAAATCTTCTGAAAGTTTTAATTAAAAAAGATTTTGGACTAATATTAAATAAAGAAATTCATAAATAGGTGAAAGGCATCAAAAAATATAAGATATCAGGTTTGATAATACTTTAAATTTTTTTTTAAAATCAAAATTCAATTAATGTTCTGTTCCATTATACCTTATGAAAAATCATTTTCATATAAATTATAAATATGTATATATTGTAAAATATCAAATGTATAAAAAAAAATATCATTTTAATACAATAAGACATAATTTTATTTTAACAAATATATTTATTTTGACTTTAATGCAATACCATTTATTATAACATTATTAAGACAATCTTCTAATTTAAGAGTATTGTTGACTAATTGACGACAATTATCATTGAGCTCCTATATTGATTTTAAAAAAAAATGATATTTGTAATTTTTAACTTTTATTTGTCCAATCGATAATTGCGTTTTCATACTTAAAGCTTGTAGTTGTTTTAATTTTAAATAAAAAAATCTTTTAAGAATAGATTGAATTTCGGTTCGAAGATGACAAAATTTATTTTCAATTTTCATTAAAAAATTATAGTGTAGCACAAGGAAATTTCCATTTACAACAGCTGTTTTATCAAAATTTCTATTAGTCTATTTATTATCACATAACTTGTCAAATTTAACAGGTTAAAATGATTACATTTAATTATAAACATTTTTAATATATTTTAACCCGGTCCGTGCAGACATAAAAGAGGGGAGCGGTAAATTACTCTAATCTGGGTTGAGTTACTATTTAATTAAGATTTCGTATCGGTTTTCAAAATTTCCTTGACTCAGCGAAAGAGTTTGCGCGGGAATTGAAAATAAGTTTAGAAAAGCAAGGCTTTCCTTCAATAACATTAATTCGTAAATGGAAAGTTCAAAAACAATATGAAGGAGATGACACGCCTATACATGATCCTCAAAAAATATGAGATTGAATTTTTAAATCTATTTCCATATCAATTTATAAATGCGCCTGAAAAAAAGCTAAAGAGAAAATTTTGACAATTAAATATTACAGATCAAGATATATTAGAATGCCATATTAGTCCGCAAGATCTACTAATTGAATTAAAGATTTTAGTGAATATATTAAGCAATTCTCAATTCCATTGAAAATTTTAAGCTATATTAATACTAATAGGTTAAATGAAGCCTTGCCAAACATATCATTTTATTAAAAAATTTTTACTATTGTGTAACTTATAAAATTTAATAAATAACATTAACCTTTACTCAATGTTTTTTTCATCTGAAAAATTTATCAAGGAATCCCTCTGACTATATTTCAAAAAATAAATATAATTTATTTAATTAATTTTGCCATAATAACATATGATACATAAACTATATCATGAAAATAATGTTACAATTGCAATACAAAATAATGGAAATATTACAAAACTAGTATGAAATATAGTAAAGCATTTTTTTTACATTATATTACATTTCTTGTTTCTTTTTTTCATAAAATTTATCTGGCATTTCTTATTACTACTTATATTTAGTGTTGTTAAAGTTTCTCTTCAAAGGTAACTAGTTACATTAAAAGTTATAGTTACACAAATTTAATTGTTACCTTAATTTTTCAAAGTGTTAATTATGTGACTTACTTATGCACTTAACAAAAGTAGATTTTAGAAAAAAAATGCCAATAAACTATTTATTTTATATATCTATTCAATCCCAGAAATCAGCCTGAAAAATAATTGGAAAAAATCTGCAGGAAGAAAAAATTGGGGAAAAAAATCTCTAGGAATAAAAATATTGTGAAAATAATTTTATAATAAAAATCGATATATATTTAAAATTTAAATCAATTACTTAAGGTAAGATTTAAGGTTAATAATTAATTATACATGTCTGTTTTTATAAATTTTGAAATCAGCACGATTCAGGCATAAACGGTCCGTCATGAATTTGATAACGGTGTTTTAGGTCGACTGGTATAATTATCTACCCGGCCCCTCGCAAGTAATATTTTTTTTGTGAAGAGAAAATCATAAATTTTAATTATATAAGGTTTAAATAAAAATTTTGAGTTGGCCTTTAAATATATTTTGCACAAATAGTACGGCCCAAAAAATGGTTAGCATAGGTTATACAATGCGGCTCAAATGTTTTAGCCCAACTTGCTGGCAAAGATTTTGAAGTAGGCTCAGGCGAGCAGATTTCTGATGTCTATTATCTCTAGATGAAATTAATTAAAATTTCCTTAAAAAATTTATGAAATTTAATATCTTCAAAATTGAGGTTTGAATACCTTTCTCCAAGGTGTTCATAAAATAAAATTACTAATAGCGTTGTCCTTCCTAATTCCGGAATTCTAATGGTTATTTCATTTTAACAAAATTCAGTTATATTTTTTTAATTGCTCTCGGTCGATTAAAAGAAATGTTAAATTTTTGAAATTTATATAATTCTCTAGAATTATGTTTTGGGCATGCTTATATTTTTATATAAAATAGTTTATTTATATATTTTCATTAAAGTTTCGATGTGAATTTAATTTTTTGGACACAATAAAAAATTTATAAATTTTTATGGCCTCTTTTTTCTAGCGGTCTCAAATATTGGCACTTTTCGCACTATGGATAAAATGCCTACTTGGCTTTATGGCCAGTGCACCACATGAATGGAAGCCATCTATCGGTCTTAGACTAAACCCCATTGACGGGTCAGTACTAATATATTAAATTTGTATTCTTCATACATTTTATAATGTCTTATGATAATATTTATAAAGTAGATTTCTTTCCAGTGATCTTTATCAAATAAGTGTATTGAAAAGGAAAAGTTATTTATAATTTTAAAGAAAAACAGTTAATTTGAATATAAAATTTTCAAGGATAGTTTAAATTGTAAAGGTAATTGAAAGGATTAAATTGTAAGGAGATTAAATGAATCATATGAAATGATTATTGATGGTATAAATTTTAGTAGTATAGATAGTGAAATCGAAAATGTAATTCAAGAAAAAGAAAAGAGAAAGTTTTATCATTTTTACATTATATTTTTACGTTTTCGTTTTATTTATGTTATTTTAGAATAATTTTGATCAACTATATATTTAATTTGTCGTGTTCAATTCTTGATTTTAATAATTAGTAATTGAATTAAATAATCTTAAGTTAAGTTATTATTGTTAAACTCTGCGTTAGACATATTAAAGATGTCTTAACGTAGTTTATTAACAAATTAAGACAGTTCGTTTTTTGAAAAAAAAATGGTGAACGGCGTTCCTTTTATTTTTGACGAACTTTGAACATGAACGCGTTCCCTTTTTATGACGAACGCGCTCGAATTTAACGTTCGTTCAATTTTAAAAACATCTTTTATTTTTATTTATTTGAAAAATGTAATATTTATCCTAATTTTATAAGAAAAAATTATTATATTACAATCAACTGTTTTTCCTTTTCACATTTCATTTTTTTTAACACACCATTATTATAGTTTATTAATTTGAATATTATTGTTTATATTTTAATTTAATAGATTAGCATAAGCATAGATTATTATTTCAATCATTATCTGATTCTGAAAATTCAAAATCAGATGAATTAACATTACCATGGCCCAAATATGATAAATATTTTACAGTAACATCCTTTAGAAACTAATTCAATACTTACCAAATGTAAAATGTGTCCAAAAAGTATTATATCAGTTTCAAAATTTTTAAGTTCCAATTTAAAAAGACATTTGATTGTAATATTAATTATTTTATTTTATATAATATAACTAAGTAAAATTATTAAACTTGAAGAAAAAATGCATTTAAGGTTGTTTCACCCTAACAATAATGATAGTTATTTAAAATTAAAAAAATTAATGGCGTAAATTATGTCAACTATTGATAGGCGCATTATTCAATGGGATCAGTGGCGTAGCTAGGAATTTTCCTTAGAGGGGGTCCATACTTATAAAAGCCTGGGAAGCGAAGCCCCCCAGGCCCCCTTTAACGGGCCTTCGGCCCTTTTGCCCGGCCTTAGGAGGGTTTATTTTATAACCATATCTTCGATAATATATATTACATATATTTTTTAAATGCATCAATAATATGTTATTATAATTTAGTAGATTATTATCATTGACTTTTTAATAATACTATCCAGAATAATTTCAATAGTAAAATAATATCCTTCCACAAACATCAAAACCAGAAAAATATAAATATTAATGGTATTTATTTGATATAAAGTCACTTTTAAGTCTTTTTGAACGTATAATCTAAAAATAATTTTTGCTCTGGGAGGGGTCCAAACCCGAAAACCACCCCCGTAGCTACGCCACTGAATGGGATCAATAAAAAGTACTAAACCTATAATTATCAAATTAATTACATATATTTTTTTTTTAAATTTAAATATATATATTAAGATCAATATGTTCTTTCTGCAATTATACATCCAATATTCAAGCTTCAATAGCCATGGATAAAACTTCCACACGAACCTATAAAAAATAAACTTATAGCACTATTGAAAAAATGCATTGAAAACCCTAGAAATGATAATGCAAGAACTTCTAATTTCGAGATATCCTATTTTGAAATCAGATAAAAATTTTGAAAACAATTGTTATTAAAATTTAATAAGAAATTTTTTTTATAAATAATAATATTATTTTATTCGCTATATTTTATTGCATTTATAATTATATTATCAAAATAAAACTATATTATTTTTTAACATGGCTAATATATTGTGTTAAAAAATATAAGACATTTATTTATATTAAATTAAATTTTAAAAAAAATTTATCATAAAATTTTGAAAACGTGAACACGTTCACCTTTTTTTTGAAAGTGAACGCGTTCGGTTTTTGCCAATGAACGTTAAACGCTTTAGATTTTTAAGAAAAGTTTACAGCACTATTTTTAGATTTATTTAAGTCATTGAATAAATATACTGAAGAATTTTTTTAAAAAATATAATATGGCTAAAAATGTAAGCCTGATTTTATATATTTAGAAAATGGGATAATAATTTTTTTCCTATAGCGGAGTTAAACAAATACTGACCATGAGTGCAATTTCAATTGATTGGTCTTAAAATAAATTTTTAGTATTGGTGAGCAAAAAGTGAGACGATTTAAAATCGTTTTTTAGATATCTTCTGACAAGAAAGATATATGATATAATTTGCTGGAGAGCGATAAAGCGACGTCAAATTTTTCGAATTTTTCGCTCCCATTCGTATTGATTGGTAGGAGGTTTTGTAGATAACTGTTTTTATCCTGACGTGATGTAATGTTATAAGAATTTTGATCCCCATGTTCCTCCTCTATTTCGTATCCTAACCAGGAGCCTAGTAATGCCCCTGTCATACTGGCTATCGTGTCAGTGTCTCCACCTAGACTTATTGCATCGTATAACGTATCCAAGAAAAGGGTTGAAGAATTAGGCTTTATTTATTTTAAATAATATGATTTAATATTCCATATATGTTTTTTATGAAATATTTCATTTAATATCCTTTCAAACCGAAAAATGATAGTTTAAAATATATTATCGAGTTAAATACTTGTTAAACGTTATCAAATTTTTGACAAAACCTCCTTATATAATTTTTCTTTTAACTTTAAATTAAATAGCATCAACTTGATTAAGGCATTTAAAATTAGAATAAACATTTGTAATTATCAAAGACCCTTAAAAGGCAGTAAATCAGTATGATTTTAAAAATTCAGGCCATACCTAAAAATCAAGCTGTATCTAAAATAAGAAAAGTCACAAATCTGTGTCGAGCTGAATGATTATATCAATTAATCAATTAAAAATTTACATAATAAATAAACCATTCATTTGCGTCACATATTTTAAATTTCCCTTTTATAAAATATGTTATAAATGATTTAGAATGACCAAATTTTTAAAACCCAGGCCGAGCCTTGAAAAGAACAAAAAGCTTCTTTTCAATAATTTTCAATTATTGGTGTCATAGGTAGGCAATATTTTATTTCCCCAAATTTTTAATATAACAAACATTAATTTAAATGCAACTCCAAAGTAAAATTATATTATAATTTAATATTATTCTTAGAAAATACATAATTTTTATCAAATACAAAAGATAAAAAATTCTTTTAGAGCGGCATATCGAGTTAATTAAATCAAGTGACTAAAATCATATGTCATATTACCCTTGAATTCTCATGTGGAAATAAAAACGCAAGTGCTCAGATAGAGTTTGACAAATCCTAAGAAAGAATTATAATCAATGCTAAAATTTTCTTAAAAAAAAATCGCGAGCGAAACTATATATATAATCATCATAAAAATCAATAATATCCAATCGATATATATATTTTTCTTTACACTTTAATCAATAACCTAATTTTGACAAAAAATCAATACATTTTCATATCATATTACAACATGTACCCCCTTCTAAGGATAAAATCCAGGACTAAAATTTATTTATATATAAAAAAAAAATATTTACAATACAACAAAAAAAATCATGGGACCGGAGCGTTTATGAGGGATTCCTCTATTGAATCACTCATTTCCACCTCCGTTCCATTGAGCTCCGGTCCATTAATATTAAAATCTATATTTTTTCTAACCAATGACACCTTTTTGTTTTCCGCTGCTTGACCGAATTTATATAACCAACGTCTTTTTGCAACTTCTTCTGCTTCCCTCGCTATTAATCGTGCATCGTCCATTATTCTCCGCTGTTGACCTCCAGCCCATTATTCAACGTATAAGATGTGCTTACCCCACTCGCGCAATCCCTAGCTTTGTGTCCCCGTCCACTACAATTAAAGCAATTTATGTTAGTTCCTCTCATTCCCAGTTGTCTCATGGGAATAGTAGCTGGTCCAGACGCATATTTTGCATGTAAAGCCACTTTTCCTTGCGATGACATAGTACCATACGAATATGTTTGTGTTGCTCCTTCTTCAGTTTGTTACTCAATCCATGCATTGTGCCATTTATCGGCGAGTGGATTGGACATGTCTAAGGGGTAAGCACATCTTATACGTTGAATAATGGGCTTGATCGTTGGGCTGGAGGTCAACAGCGGAGAATAATGGACGATGCACGATTAATAGCGAGGGAAGCAGAAGAAGTTGCAAAAAGACGTTGGTTATATAAATTCGGTCAAGCAGCGGAAAACAAAAAGGTGTCATTGGTTAGAAAAAATATAGATTTTAATATTAATGGACCGGAGCTCAATGGAACGGAGGTGGAAATGAGTGATTCAATAGAGGAATCCCTCATAAACGCTCCGGTCCCATGATTTTTTTTGTTGTATTGTAAATATTTTTTTTTTATATAAATAAATTTTAGTAGGTACCCTGGATTTTATCCTTAGAAGGGGGTACATGTTGTAATATGATATGAAAATGTATTGATTTTTTGTCAAAATTAGGTTATTGATTAAAATGTAAAGAAAAATATATATATCGATTGGATATTATTGATTTTTATGATGATTATATATATAGTTTCGCTCGCGATTTTGAGATAGATTTTTGATATTATAATTTTGATACATATAGTTTTTTTTTAATGTTTTTCCGAAATTGTAAAAGAAAAATAATTATTTTTTTGGTTTAAAAATTGTGAAAAATATATATAATAAAGAAAAATAAAAGTGTGTTAAAAAATATTTCATATTTGACTCTAAGATTCGTATTTGACTCTAAGAAAATCCTAAAGATTAAAAATTGCCTTCTTACTACTTCTTACGTTTCTAACAGTTAGGTAACACCATTGACTACCATTGTATAGATTAAAGGCCGAAAATTATTTAAAAAGTATAAAAAAAAGAAAAATTCGAAAAAAAGAGGTAAAAATTTTTTTTTTAGGTAAGTTTATATGAATTGTTTTTTTATAATATTAATAATTATAGCTATAGTTTATGTTTTTTCTTTTAGAATAGTTAAAATTTTTTTAGTAAAATTACTAATAAGCTTACTATAATATAAAAAATTGAAATTAAAAAAAAAATAGTTAAAGATTTTAAAAAAAATGTGGAATAAAAAAATAATTACCACTAAAAATTATTTTAAATTAAAAGAGTTGGCACAGGGAGAGATATATGTGAGTATAGTTGTATTAATAATGTTATGGATTGGAGGATATTTATGTTATAAAAAAAATAGAAATAAAGAATTGAATAGAATAAGGTGTGTAAAGCAAATTGAACAGGAAAATAGGGAAATGGAAATTAAAAATAAGGAAAATGAAAATGATGAAATTAAAAGAATAGAACAAAAAAAAGAAATAGAAAAATTGAAAAAAGATATGAGAGAAGAATGGGAAGCGGAAAAAAAGAAAATAGAAGAAATAGAATTAAAGAAAAGAGAGGAAAAAGAGAAAATAGAATTAAGGAGAAAGAAGGAAGAAATACTAGAAATAGAAATGGCAGAAATAAAAATGAAAATAAAAGAATTGGAAGAAAAAATGTAAATAAAAGAATAGAACAAAATTAGAAAGGTCAAAAAGAATGTTATAATTGTGGAAAATTTGGGCATTTAAAAAGAGAATGTAATGCCAGGGTAAATCCAGGAGTTATACCAAAAATATGTAAAAGATGTGGAAATAAGGGTCATAATGAGGAAGAATGTTACGTTTTAGCTTACAAATTAGTGAATGGGAACCAAAAAAATGAAATATATTGTGGAAATTGTGGGAATTTAGGACATACTAAGGATAAATGTTATAAAAATGAACAAGGTGTTTGCAAAGCGTTTCCAGCGGTGGAATACGTAGGAAATGAGCAGAAAAATATAGTTAAACGAATTAATAGAGAAGATATAACTTGTTATAAGTGTCGAAATATTGGGCATTATGCGAAGGATTGTACAGTAGGATGACTGTATGATAGTGAAATAAAAACATTTGGAAGAGTTACATCAAAAAATGAGTTGGATCTATTGAAAGAAGATATATATAAAAATAAGATAAATGATCATATTGAAATAGAAAGAAAAAATGAAGGAAATAATAACTGTTGGAAAATGAACACGAAAGAATATACATATTAGTAATTTACCTATCTTTAAGTTGGAAGATAATAAAAATTTCGATCAATGTCCAAGAGTAAAAGTGAATGTAGGAAATAAAGAGATTTGGATGTTATTGGATACAGGGGCAACAATATCTGTGATGGGGTATAATGAATTTTACAAGTTATGGCCGAATGAACACATAATTAAGGATAGAATGAGGGTAAAACAATTTGAATGGTTCAGAAATTATGGTATTGGGAAAAGTAAATTTACCGGTATTATAGATTTTTGATATTATAATTTTGATACATATAGTTTTTTTAAATGTTTTTCCGAAAAAAAAATAATTATTTTTTTTGGTTTAAAAATTGTGAAAAATATATATAATAAAGAAAAATAAAAGTGTGAAAGAAAATGAATTTGTGGAAAGTAAAATACTAAAAGATGATGAAATTAAAAATATATTAAATATTTCTGAGGAAGTTCAGAAAAATGAAAAAATTATAAGTGATAAAAGGGGTCAGGAAAAACTTGATATTTTGGATAATAAAATTGATATAAGTTTAATACATGAACCTGATACGGAAATTGAAAAAAATATTGATTTGGAAATTGAAAATATTTCGGTTGATTTGGAAGTTGATAATATTTTGGAAAATTCAGAAATTAAAAAAAATAGTGATTTGGAAATTGAAAATATTTCAGTTGATCTGAAAGTGAAAAGTATTGTGGGAATTGTGTAATATGATATGAAAATGTATTGATTTTTTGTAAACTCCAATTATTAATTACATAAAAATTTAGACGCCAATAAAACCCAGGCCACTCATAAAGTGAATGTTTATATTAACTAAGGTTCAAAAAAATTGACCGATTTACTCCTTGTAGGGTTTGACAAATTCAATTCTCAAAACGCTTATATTTTAATAAATAAACCAAGATAAAGAAAATTCGGAATATACTATATTATAGGATAAATTTAAAGAAACTATTAAAGATCTCAGATCGTAATAATTAATCGTTTTTCTAATAAATTTTAACATGCCTGACTTTCATATACCAGACCTGATTATTAAAGGGTTAATAAATAATATTGCCAATGCAAATATAATGCGCATGATGAATGTGATCATATTTTTTTTTAAATATCGCAGAATGCGGAAGGTAATTATTAGTTAATGTACTTATCCACCAGCTGACCCAAAATGAAGTTTAGAAAAGTTTTGTTTTGTAAATCGAGAATCTTTCAATATAAAGTAGTTATTGAGTATTATCCTCCCATCTGTAAAACTTATGGCTTCTTATAGTGTTTTATGTCCCTCTTGTGGCAAATTAATATTCCTTACTAAATCAGGTAAACTATTACTCCATGGTCATAGATCATCAAGATATCTTTCACCTGGATTTCTCTTCCATAGCCCCTCTTTACCACCTTCAAGCTTCCCAGCCTTATTCTCTACTCCTTTTCTGCCTACTTTAATTAATAATGACCCAATAAGTAATAATGACCTTGATGACAATAAACATTTATCCACTGATGTCCCTCAACCCCTTTGGATCTAGAATATTATGACTAAACTATTTGTGTCTACAATCTCTAGGATACCCGTGGTGCTCGCATTTTGACTGCTAAAGAATTATTTAATCTTATTGCTTCGCATAACAATAACATCAACAATTCAGAGAAATGGAAAGAACTATTTCTCATTTAAAATCGCCTTCTAATAAAGACACAGATAATCTCTAATGCCAAATTAAAAATCCTAATGTCTTACCTTGTTCGTCATTCACCAAAAAGCAAATCAACAACTTCCAACCTTAAATGTCCCATAAAGCAAAATTGATTGGAAAAAATGTAATTTATGCAACATTAAAAGTGCACTTAACATTTCAGTTTCAATGTGTTTGCTCCAAACGACCATTCAACTATACAATCCCTTTTATCTAAACATCCTCAAGAATATATTGCCACTACTACTGCCACCACCATATCCCCAGATATACTTTCATTAAAAATTATAAAGGCTATTAAATCATTTAAAAAGGATTCGGCTGGAGGGTTAGACGGTTTCCGAGCAATTTACCTCCAGGATCTAACAAAGCCACCCATTCCATGCCACCACAGCCTAATATCAGACTTAATCATACTTCTTAATAACATTTTTAATAACCTTGTTTCACCATGCATTCTACACTTAATTTTTAGCGCTCGGCTTATTACGCTATCCACAAAGGATGGAGGCATTAGCCACATTGCTATTGAGACTATCTTACGAAGAATCATATCTAATATCATTTGTTGGTAAAAGCAAATCTTTACTTCCTAATCAATTAAGATTTAGTATCACACCACATGTCATCTGCTTTACGAATCAAACAACCTTTCTTTTACATTAGATTTTAATAATGCATTAACCCTCAAGAGAGAACATTTCATTCCTTCTTTCTGTAAAATTCCCAGATTCAACTTATATATCAGCTTGCTATGGTCACGTATCTTTTTTGAAATTTCATGAAACTACGTCAAGGTATATAACAAGGGGACCCCTTGGGTCCAGCTATCATCTGCGAGACTATTCGTACCATCACTGTCACCATAATGCAATGTCATTTTAAACATATGGTATTTAGATGATGGTACAGTTGCAGGATCTTACGATAAATTAATTAAAATTCCATTCTTTTCTGATCTGACTCCTATTAATGGGCTTTCCCTCAATCATAAAAAATGTGAATTTTATATGCCCAACAATTTTCATTCCATTCTTGATAACTTTTTTATAGTCGAGAAATCAAGTTCTACTCATCTAGGCTTACCTCTTTGAGGCAAGGCAGCAATATCCAAATTTATTGAAAACTTCCTGATTAAATTTGACAGACTTCAGAAAATCCTAGGATTTTTACCATCTCATCATTCATTCTTTCTCCTAAAGAATTTGCTATTTCAAAAATATTGCACGCCTTTTGCTCTGTTCCTCTTTTCATATTTCCAGACATATTACTAGATTTGGAGCTTAAAGTTAAAATCCCCCTTGAACCAATACCCTACCTCAAAATCTCGCCCAGTTGCTGGATGCAAACCGCTCTCCCGTGCAAATTTGGGATATAGGTTTTCGATCCCCTGTCTCACTGAGTAATGCAGCTTTTCCCTCATCATACACCCAAAATCAAACAATTACTAACAATTTTACCACCACTACAGATTCCCATCTGGGGTTGATACTATACCCATGGAAGTCAAATGCTCCAAATGCTTCCTTGCCTTTATTCTTCAGACAACAAGATTGGGACTTACCTTTAATCCAGCATTCCGTTGATTTCCTTTCGAACGCTGCCTTGAAGGGTATTTCCTCAATCTTTAACCCATCCCTCTCCAATAAATCAAAGTATTGATTCATTCCCCCCAATAAACTAAAATAGTAATTCTCCATCATCAATTCAACATTTCAACACAGGTTAATGGCTTGAGGCTATCTAGCTCCAACCTTGGTTTGCTTCTTTCCAATGAAGAACTTCGGATAGGAATAGTTCTCCGTTTAGGCTGTGATATCGTCACACCCTCATCTTGCAAACTATGTCAGCTCCGTGTTGAGAGTCTAGGTCACCACTCTTTTTACTGCCGTTTTTCTAGAGGCCGCCACCCACGCAATAGATTTATTATTGATAGAACTTTCTGAGCTAATATTCCATCAACTTTGGAACCTGTAGGTCTTAATCTCGGGGACAATATCATCCTGAAGGAATGACACTTATTCCATGGAGCAGGGTAATCCCGCTAGCCTGGGATTATAAATGTGTTGATCGGTTCGCAGCATCTTTTAGCTCTAATACCTTAGTTAGAGAGGAAATTAGAAAAATTAATAAATACATTAGTATTCCTAATATTACTCTAGCCCCCATTGTGTCTGACATAATCGGTGCTTTTGGACCCAGAACAAAAGATTTTTTCAAGGCACTCAGCCAAAAAATGGGCTTAATTTAGGTGATCCTAAGTAAGGTTTTTACCTACGCCAACGAATTTCAATGGAAATTTGTAGGTCTCATAATATATCAATCCATGGTGTAATCGTTTTTTAAATCGAAATAAATAATTGTTCAGTTTTAAAAAAAGGAAGTTAATTTAAGTTATAAATATAAACAAATTTTATAAATAACTTGATAGGCATTCTGATTTTTGTTGAAAGCAATTTTTAAAGCTCGTAAAAAGAAATAAATGGAAGTTGGGACGGATTTGACAGCCGAGACATCATTACCTAGTTTTATTATAATCATTATAATTTCAACATTCAATCTAAATGAAAATAAGAAGAAAAAAACTTCTACTATGGGAAGGGGGGGGGGGTGCTAAAATTTGTACAATACACTAACTATAGTCATTTTACATCTTTATATATAAATAGTCTTTAGAAGTAAAGTATCAAATAAGTTTAATAAAAGTTGGGATAAGAATATTTAATATTATCTATTTTATAACGTTGAATCTACCTAATTTTTTGATGATTTCAGGCCGATTGATTTCGGTAGAGTTTTGCATTAAAAATTCTTTTACTGTTTCGAATTTATCTAAAAAATCTGTCAAAGATTTCTGACATCTCCTGGCACGTTTTATTTAAAATATAATATATATAATTTATCAAATGGTCACCAGATTTATATTATTATTAATTGTAAAATTAAATTATCTAAGTAATAATAATTAAAAAGTAGATACAAATAAAATAAAAAATCTGATTATCAAAACAGGGAAATTTATTAAATAGGGCTGTGCCGATTAGAGGTTTGGAACAAAATTTTCAGGCTTGGCCTTTTTGAAATTTAGCTTTAACCCGGCCCGTTTACAATTTATTTACTAAGGTTTCCCGGCATAGCTTTTTAAATAAAAGGTCTAATCAGAAATTGAACACCAAAATAAACAACTATTTATAACATTGGGGAGTGGTTAAAAACAGTACTTTTTATGGATTACCCCTTCTATCAAATATAAAAATTCATCGATAATCAGGCCCAATATTTTTTCCCCGGTCCGGTTTGTGGTTATTTTTGCCAGACCCGGCCCAAATAAAAAAATCCGACATTACCCAGCGCGGGGATTGCAAACCTTTAATGCCAATTGGACCTGTGCGCCTCCGGCGGCCGGTATTTTTATTCACGCCGGAAAAGCCGCCGATTTTTATTATGGCGGCGGCGCGGCGTGTCTAATTTTTAGAAAGCATATTAATTATATTTATATATTAAATTATTATTATTTTAATTTGAATACTAACATTAAATCTAATTTATAATTTGTTTCATTCCAGCCCTTATTATTTTGTGTTTTGTAAATATCTTTTTAAAGTATTATTTAATATATGATTTTTTAAAACTTTATTAGAAAGGTTAAACTAAATCAAATTTATAATTTGTTTCATTCCAGCTCTTATTATTTTGTTTTTAAATATCTTTTAAAATATAAACTTAATATACAATTTATTAAATTAATTATGTAAAGCTTTATTTTGAAAGTTAATAATCTAATTTAATTTGTTTCATTTTAGCCCTAACTATTTTAATGTTTTTATATATCTTTCTAATGTTTAAAATAAATATGAAATCTAATAAGGCGAAATTATGTTTTGATGTCTGCTTAGATTTAATCCCATTTGATTCTATAAACAATAAAGGAATGACAGACTTTCTAAAGGTTTAAAATTTATATAAAATGATTATTAAAAAATAAATTGTTCAAAAATTAGAAATATAAGATAATTGATTCCTCGTCAGAATTGCCAAATAGGACAACCATTAGTCGGGATACACTAGACGATGTTTATTTATCTCTGAAGGCGCATGTTTTAAATTTGTTTGACTCTGGACCAAAATTTTGTTATATCACTTTTGATTTGTGGACCGATCATTTCAAGCGTCGAAATTATATCACATTTAGTCTTCATCATTTAGATGAAAATTTTGATTTAAAATATTTTACCCTCAACTAGAAATGTAACTCAAAAGCATACTGGGGAAACAATATTATCTGATATTGATAGTATTGAAGAGGAGTTCCATTTAAAAGCCAAAATAATACAAATAGTAACTGATGCTGGTGCCAATGTCAAAAGAAGCGTCAGATTAGGGGATTATGAGCATCATTTATGCTTAGGGCATGGACTTCATAATTTGGTTACAGTTGTTGGCATAAAAAAGTTACCAAGATTTATATTCTCATTAAAATAATTAGAAAAATTATTTCAGCCCTCAGATATCGAGTAGCTGATTTGGAATGTGAAATTGAGGCTGAACATGGTAAATGTCTGCATTCAATTTATGAGACAGGTAATATCTTGGATATTGATGATTCTGATTACCTTACCATTTTGATATGTCTGATGAATCGGATAATTGAAATGGCATTGCACCAACCAATCCAATTAATGCAAAAACTTTAAAAATAAATTGCCCAACCCGCTAGCATATTATGCTAGGAAGTATTTGCATTGCAAACAAAATTCCTATAAATAATGTTCTAAATAAAATAGGAAAACAATCTTTAAAACTCTTTAATAATGAATAGGATATGATAGATGAGCTTTAAGTAAATCCATTCCGAGAGTCGGTGGAATTTCTTTCCTCCCAAAAAGGATCTACAATAAACTCAGGGTTATCATTTAGCAGTGAAATAGAAGCTCATATACAAATTAATAAATCTGATTGCTCAGATATAATATGCTTAAAAGAAAATATGAAAAAAAAGCTTGACCATAGGTTTCCGATCACTGAACTTCAAGTTATTTTATATTTTTATTAATAAAATTATATTCTAAACATTAGATATTAGCAACTATACTTGATCTAAGATTTCAAAATCCTAATATTGTTTTACAATATTTAAATTCAAATTCTACGAAATCATTGCAATTTCTAATACGACATTTTTTAGAGCATGATAGAAATGCTCAGCGTGAAATTCAAGTCTAGGATGGTACATCATGCTCTTATATAGCGAAATTAGCTCGAAAACATTCCCTTCCTATTAACGATTATAACAATATTACTAATCTTAAACAAGAATGCCATATTTTGCTCAGCCAGAATATTATTTCAGAAGAGGATGCATTGCTCTTGGAAGAAAAAGCGACTGGAACTTCCTATGCATGCCAATTTAGCTAGGAAGGTTCTTTGCATACCTGCAACCAGTACACTCAGCAAAAAAATTTTTTCCATTGCTGGATTAATACTCAATGCTAAAAGGAGTTCTTTATGTCCTATAAATCTTGATAAAATACTGTTTATTCATGACAATTATAATTTTGCTAAATCTGAATTCTGACTTATCATATTTCATACTTCATATTTTGCCTGCATTCCAAATTTTAATTATAATAAAAATCAATAGGATATTTCTTATATGCGTTGTTGGTATGAGTCTGATTAAGTAAAAATACAATTCCTTAGTTTATTTCTGAGAATGAGAAAATACATAAATTTAAATTGGAGTGAGACGGGAGATAATTTAAGATCAATTAAACTATGTTAGCAATGTGTTAGAAAAGATCGCCTACATAAATTATAAAAAATGTAATACATTAATTTATAAATTAAATTCATTAAAAAATATATTGATTTATAAATTAAATTCATTAAAAAAAATTTTTAAATAAATATTGCGCCGCCGCCGCTGCCGAAAATTTAGTAGGCGGCGGCAAAATCGGCGCGCCGCCGAACGCCGATAAAAAATTTTTAAAAAACCGCCGCCGTTGATTGAGACATCGGCGCACAGGTCTAATGCCAATACACAATTCTTCACCGATCCTATATTACTATAAAACTGATCATATATATATAAATTGATTTTATTTACAACTATCTTTGATTCAATGTAATAAATTAATTAATATTCCTATACAAAAAAAACCAAATTAGCTTCCACGAATTATTAAGTGTATTTGTTTTTATATATTCTCGAAAATTATCTCATTTAAAATATAATGTTTACAGCTGAATGCAATGTTGTTAAACGGCTGTATTTAATTGATTTTAAAAAACGACTATCAAGATTTTAATTAAAATATTATTATCCAAGCCTATAAATTTCGAAAATAGAGGTCCAAACCTTTCTAACCACTGTGGGCTATCTCCAAGCTTGAATAGTTTATTTTTGGCTTAAATCTTAAATTTTAAAAATCGGATAAATCAAGCCATTTAACAACACTAGCTTAGTGTGACTCGTTAGATATTTTAAAAACCTTTTCAAGTTGCAGATATAACAAAAAAATTAACTTTTTAGTTACTCTAACTTTTAAAATAATTCGATTTTTTTTAAACATTACAAATAAATTGAATTTTTAGTTTTATGAATTTACTTATGATGCCTGGAAATTTCGACAATAGATGTTCAAATTTTTCTCACAACTGTGGGCAGAATCTCCAAGCTTGAATAATTTATTTTTGACTTAAATCTTTTGAGTTAGTCGTTTTTAAAAATCGGATAAATCAAGCCGTTAACCCTAGTTTAATGTCACTCCTTAGATATTTTAAAATCCTTTCCATGTTGCATATTAAAAAAAATTTAATTACTCTATATTTTATAATAATTCGATTTTTTTAAACATTATAAATAAATTGAATTTTGATTCCTTTTATGAATTTATTATTATTATGATAAAATTCAATATATTATATAATTATATATATATATAATCATAATATAACTAAAAAAACAAAAATATAGGATCGGATCGCTTTTTTTAAAAATATAGGCCCGATCTGATATTTTTTGAAACCGCTAAATGGTCCCGATTCGGCATCTAATATTTGCACATCTACTATTAGATAAAATGTTTAAAGAAATATTGGGAAAGAAATCATTTACAAGTTTCAAAGTAAAGTCTTAAAGCATTTTACCAAAAAATATTTTACAATATCTAAGGAAACAAATCATAATTTCAGGGCTGAGAACCCGAATACAAGACCCGTTAGGGTTTAACGTTCAAAAATTGTTTTTTATATTTATTTTCATTATATAACATGAAAAAAAAATTTCGTTGTATGATTTTTATTATATTTTAAATCTAATTTTTATCACTCATAAGTTTTTAAAATTTTATGTGACAAATAACATCATAGGGCTAGAATTGGGGTGCTCCACTTGCAAAATTGTTAAAACTGGGAAAACGATTTTAAAGTTTAGATTCAAATATAAGAAAACTTATAGAATAATGCAAGTAAAAAATTGATAATTAATTTATACTATTTCTAAATAATAGCCAAATTTTGCTCAAAAATTTTTTGAGGATTTTGTTTGATAAAATCAAAATACAAGTAGATAAAAATAACCACCTCATGAATTATATTTTTGTTCAAAATTTTCCGTCTCAATTTTATTTATGAGAATTTATTAAATAAAAGCAAAATAAACAGAGATACCTTATCTAAATCATCAAATTATATAATATAGGCAAACAATCTTTATTTCATTCTAATTTATTAATGGAAATAATAATTTCGTTGAATAAAAAATTATGCCAATAATATTTAACTGATAATTTTTCCATACATATTTATAGTAATTTATTTTAAAAAGGCGCACAATGGGTGATTGCATTAGGCTGGTTTTTGGACCATAAGCCCGCCCCAATGTTTTTAAAAAATTTAACCCGCCCGCCTATAGTTTTCAAAAAAATATACCCTCCCGCCCATTAGTCTTAAATTCCTTACCCGCCCGCCCATTAGTCTAAAATTTTTTACCCGCCCACCCATTATTTGAAAAAATTTTTTAACCCAAGCATGCTATTATAATATTTAATTATGGTCATTCTTTCAATTTTTTAAATATCTAATAAAAAAAAATTCAGCATTATACCTCTATATAAAGTTTTATAATTTAGTATTCAATTTAAATTATGGATAATTTATTTAATCAAATAAAATATTTATGAAAAAAATATAAATATAAAATTGATATTATATGTAATTATAATGCAAAAATTATTATGAATAGACATTTACTGGGTTCAAACACGTTCTTCTTTATTCTAAAAACCTTCCAGCAATGCTAAACCTCGTAAAGAATTGCAGGAATTGCCAATTTTTTCTTGCTATTGATAGCTTTGGCAAATCTCTTTCTTGTCGTTTCCTCCAAAGTAGTTTTAAATATACAAAAAAGTTTTTTTATTTTTAAAAAAAATATGATACCAAAAAAGAACATTTTAATTTTTAATATCCAAAAAAGTTCATAAGAACAATTTTTTATTAAATTTACTTAACCCACCCGCCCATTGTTTAAATTTCTTAACCACACCATCCACTCATAGTTTTAAAAATTTTTACCCGTCCGCCCGCCTGCCCGTTCTTAAAGTAATTTTGCACGCAGACCTCTAGTGCATATATAATAAAAATTATAAAAATTTGCAGTGTTTTGACCTGGCCAAAAATTAATATGTTAAAATTTAGTTTTAATTTATATATTTAGTGGAAAATAATCGATGAAATACACTCCTAGGGGAGCACTCCAATTCTAGACTATTGACATATTATAATAAAATGTTTTTAGAAAAATATAACTAACAGAACATAAAAGCTAACTAGCCCTAATCTCATTTTTAGAAATTTTATAAACATTTTAAAAAAATTAATAAGGATGCAAATATTCCTGACTTCTGAGAAGATAATAGTTCATTTGATATTATACATATTAGGGAAAATTGTTCTAGGCGTTTCAGCAATATAGGGCCACTATATATTTTATCAGAGACCCAAGGCCGGGTCGTATATTTTAAAACAGAATATTTTAAATCTCCATTATCAGCTATAAAAATTAAAAATAAATTTAATAGTTTTTTTTAAATTGAGCAGGGCCGAAAATTTTTTTAAAAAAAAATCCGGATTGGGCTTGAAATATAAAACCCGCAAGGCCTAAAAATTTTTTTCAAAAAAAAATCTGCAAATGATATCTCTGCAGATCTCTGATTAATATTAAACTTAAAAAATATCGGGTTAGTGTTAATCGAACATTTCACCATTATATGCATTGCTAGACTTCTTTCTTTCTATCTTATGGAAGTGTCAATAATATTTTGAAAGATATCATGATAATCGCTTAAATAAAATTTGTATAATATTATTTTTTGAATTGTATTATTTATTATAGCTATAATATAATTATGATGACAAATTATTTTATGGTGAATAATGAATATATATATATAATAAAATTAATTTTTAAAAACTGGTGTTCAATAAATAAAAAAAAATTTTTTCTATACTTCGGACAATGAACATGATTCAGGGATTTTTCTATCCTTTTCTAAAGGTGAGGATTCTCAGCCCTGTAAATAATTACACAATAAGAACAAAAAAATAATAACTAAATACCATAGGTTAATAAGTTTTTATCTTAGATAGACAAGTATATGTACCATGACCTTATAAAATTATTATATATATTAAAATCAGATTTAGTTGAGGCATTAAATATTTGAATTAGCTGCCTCTTTTAAATCGAATATACAAATGTTTTTATAATTTACTCATTATATAAAACGGAATTCTCGTTATTTTCTTCATAGAATTTAACACAACTAAGCGGGAAATAATGTAGAAGTGAACCTTCATATTTTGACACCTCTTTCAAACCTTGAGTTAGAATTTGCAAGGTCTCAAGTGCCAATGATTGACCATTTAACATGGAAGAACCTATTTTTGGAGGTGGTGGAAGCAAAATGGCCTGAGCTAAGACTAAAGCTTGACACAAGGCACCGTATATCGCTATTGGGTGAGAATGGGTTAAGAGAGTCGTTTCAATGACAGACTAAAAATTAAAATTTGTAGAAGTTTTTAAGCATATTTTATTTTAAGAAAATCAGAAATGCACTGATACCATTTTTTTCAACAAATACTAATACCATAGATACCCATTATATATTATATTGAGGAAAAAGCAAGGATATAGTATAGTAATTCATCAATATATCATTTTATATTTATTTATAATTACATGACGCACCAGCATTCACAGTACCAGCCATCATACTTTCAATTTTAACCAACACCAGGCCTATTCTCATACAATTAATCCTTATATATTGAATGGAAAAAATAGGACTACATTTAAGCCATGGAAAAAAAATCTATAAATTTCTAAACAGATAAGAATTCTTTTTTCCATATTTCTTTTTATACTTTTAAATTATTGAGGAATTAACATTATGAAGAATAATAAACGTAAAATAAATCATGGCTGTTTCATTATATGGTTTTTATGGAATAAATTTAAAAATAAATATTTTTGTGGAAATAAAGACTGGAAAGAATTTTATGATTATTTTCTTAAAATAAACTTTAGTAGTTTATTTTTGATTATATTTCAAAACTATAAAATTTGATATCCCTATCGAATATAGTTGTCGTCATCAGTACAAAAAATGCCCTGTCGTTATCTAGTAATTTTTATAGATTATTATCTCGAGTAGCTTGTAGTCCGCTACTTAAAAAAATGATTTTACATATAGCTACTTTAAGTTTGTAATATAAATTGATGGACAAAATTAAAGTTTTCGAAATATCTCAAAAACAAAAAAATATATACCAAATTGACGAATTTTCATATTATATAAAAATGACCATTTGTATTATTATAAATCCTATAATAATTTATTCAGTTTTAGAAAAAATAACTGATTATGAATGAAGGATACAGAAGAAATTCATGATATGTAGAATAATGGAGCAAATATTAATATCGGTATAAATTTATTTAAACCCAAATAAAAATATGTATAAGAATGAAATGAAGGTATAACTTACTGCCATTTTCTAAATAAAATTTTATCATATTTCAAAAATATTTAAATGAATTCTCGTTAGAGGTGGGCGCGGGTCTAATTTTTTATTCACGACTAGCCAACTCACGTTGGCAAAAATAAAATTAACGTCTAGCGCCCAATACTCAAAATTGTTTAAACCAACCTGCTCATGAAATACAATGTTTTGATCAGGCCGTCTCGCCCGAAAAATTCACGGTGTTTTTAATATCCTTCTGTATTTCTAAAAGCTTACTTACTATTATTCTTAAACTTTTTTTGAGTTTATTCCATCTTATCTTTAAGTATTTTCATTAAATTATTAAAATTGTCGTTTTTATTTCTATAATTGCATACAAATTGAAAACGAAATAACATTTATAAATCAAAATTTTACTTAAAAAAAAAGAATGTCCATATTTTTTTTATTTTAATGCTCGTCTTTCCCCTAATAAGATTTTGGCTTATAAAATAACATTTCAAAGCCGAACTTACCGGGCTGATAAATTTTCTAAAAAAGCTATTTTACTTCTTCTTAAACTTCAAAATATCTTGATTGTTATTTTTATGGCCAAGAATTGGATTTTTTTGTTTATCCTCAAAACTTTCATTAGAAGATGTATACACTCATCAGAATCAGACAAATAATCTGGGATTTCTCTAAATGTTTTATGAATACGTGGTTTTTTATAGGTGGCTGATCAATTAGAAAACTTAAAAATGTGAGTTGGCATTGCCTAATAAGTATCATCGAATTTAAAACTTTAGCATTAGTAAAATTGTAAATATGTCTGCCTTTTTTTGCGTCGGTTAAACTTAATACTTAAAATTTTCGAATCAAGCCTATCTTATGCACTGTCTGAATGATAAAAAAAATTTAATAAAAGGTAATACTTTGTTTTTTAAAGGTTTTCATTGTTATTGTATAGCCTTCTGAAGGTTGACAAAATTTTATTAATTTTTGTTTCCCATAGATAAACCTCATTTATTGTGGGACCTTCTAAACATTGATAGGAAATTATCTAGTTCCCGTATGATGTTTATAATAATTTTCGCCAATCTGATTAATTTTTGTTTTCTAAACAGGTAAGCCTGTATTTCATAATAGACAGTACTGTGGGGTATCGGTATTAGTAAAAAGGCAGTATTGGTGCATCTCTGACTAATTGTAACTTTTTGCTTGTTTTTGGAGCTTGGGCAACAAATATTAGAGAGCTGCAACTGGCATTTTTTTTTAAAAAAAGTAACAAACAGGTTTAAATATTTTTTAAGCAATGAGTGGGCAAGAGAACGTATTTTAAGGTCTGGATAAGAGCGTGGATTGTTTATCTCAATTGTTGCATATTATAAGTTTAATTAAAAAATAAAACAGAGGACATATTTTTAAAAAAAAATTATGGGCAGGAAAGTTAATAATTTTTAAAAAAATGGGTGGTTTGGGCCAAAATAAAACTCGCCCATTGCAGATCTTTAGTATATGTGTATATATATAGTCAATAAATATCAAATCGAGAGACGATTCATGGCGACTTCCCTTGGATTTAATGATCGGTATATGAGAGTGTATCATTGATTATAAAAATCTAATAAATTATAAATAAAATTAACTGGGTAAAAATATGATTTAAATTATAAAACATAATGCATAATAAATAATTCAAGGATAAATAAAATATAAACTGAATAAAAAATGACTGATAAAGATAATATATCCTATATCTAGCATTTCTACATTATAAATTTCCAATTTAATTCTCACAGATCTTAAGTCATTCTTTAATTTATTATTATAGTTGGAAGTGAGACTGAGATCTCGGTAGACAGTTAATAAGGCTAGGTTCTTGATTTGTAGAAGTTATGCTTAAGTAACTTTTAACCTCTTCAACAAGGAAAATACTCATTTTCACATGTAATGAAAAATAGGGTGGCCAATATCAGTAACACATTTTTATATTTGTCCTAATGCTTAAATGCTGTTCAAAGTTTTTAAACGCTTCAATGAGATTTTGAACATGAAGGGGTAATCAAATTAAATTATTGTACCAACATTCTGCAGTTTATAGTTACTAGCAATAGGGAAAACATAAAACGACACTAATCTCTTTATACTAATTTATTTTAGGTTATAACTAATTTTTGCTATTTACTCTAGGCAATAAAAAATTAAAATATTTTAGTATTACTATTTTGTTATTAATATATCTATTAATTCTTTTGAATGCTCAAATGCTATCACTTTAAATAAATTTAAGTTTTTGAATAGTAGCTTTCAATTTATAAGCAGATAAAATCAAATGAATGTTGAAATATTTTTGTTGTATGATCTTTTAGACCTGTTTTATTTTCAGATCTATCATTTGAAGATAATGGTAGACTAGTAATTACAAATAAATTATTTTTAGAATAAGAAAAGTTTTAAAAAATTAAATTATTCAAAAGGAAATTCAAATTATGAGCAATTGAGAGTAGTCATAGGTATACGACCAAAATGTAACATTGATACTTATTTCTGGAGAGGCATGAGCTCATACAGCCAAGGCAAAAACATCATACCTGAATTAATCTAATAATAACCTGGAGCCTAAAAGCTGCCTACATCTCGAGCCTAACAATCTATCATCGGAGGATAGTTGCTTATGTAAACAAGTTTGAACTAGGGGATGCCATTTGCCAAGTTATGCTATCGTATCTAACACCATTTGTAGTTTTCTATGATCTATATTCATTGTTGAAATAGATTAACAATTTCAATATTGTCTTTTCAAATTGAGGGGCCATATCTTTTCCCATGAGCTAGTTCCAAATCTAAAATTTGGGCAAATTAATAAGGTGCACTGCATGTACCATGTTCTAATTAAATCCATGGAAGTCTACATGAAGAACGCCAAAAAATTTGTCAACTTAACATAGAAATTGACCAATTGTCAGCTGAGTATAATAGTATTCTATATCCTTTTTTAAATTTATCAAGAGTATTTTAAAATAAATATTTATTGTATACTAAATAGGCGATCACACTAATAATGCAAATAAAGGGTTATTCTAATTTTGTTTAAATTTTTTTTATTGTGATTTGGTTGAATAAGGTACTGAGAATTGATTTATCAAAAATGTGTATATTGTAAAGAAAGTGGATACAGAACAGTATAATATTCAGCCACCAATATATAAAAATACATTTTATTCAAAAAACATTAAGCATATGATTATCTAAAACTCTGATTAATGCTTCACTATCACATTTATAATATAAAAGAGCTAAGGGAGTTATCCTCATAGATGACCCATTGCCAAAAGAACCCTCTCCATCAAACTGTTGCCTAGCATATCCAAAGAGATCTTCTAAATTAATGTGTAGATTTCAATAAAAAAAAATTTTTTTTAATTCATCTTCATTTAACCATTAATTTTAAAATATAGGCTCTTATTTTAAAATAAAATATTTAATCCCTAATTTTATTACAATCATATTTAAAAAGAATTATTAGTTTTTATTCAACTTTTATGAAATATAAGTAAATTACCATCTTTTATTTGGGATTTAAACTGTTGCATAACTTTGCCAATGTTATTACCATATCCTCTCTCAGGTTCATTATAATAGGTGATTGTAAAACTTTAAAATAAGTTATAAATAATCCAAAAATGTCTAAACTTGTTCAAAATTGATTTTATGTACACACCCTTATTTTCTATCAAAGATTTCGCCAAATCAAATGTAAACGCAGTATCATCAGAATATTTTATAAGATTTTGATCTATTGAAATAGTCACCCTTTTATAAAAAAAATTGTATTTATACTATTTATAACATCTTTAATTTCATTAATGTCCACAATTTTGTTGCCCTCAAATTTTTTACCCAAACAATCCCCTATTAGCACTCCAACTATAGAACCCTGAAATTTTGTCAATGTGTTATACTTATGATTAACATTGTGCATGGTAAAACTACAGGAATGGTATTGATTGATAATCAAATTGCAATAATATTTGACAGATCAGTGGCATTTATCAAAATGTCATTTTTTAAAAAATAAATTATTTATATTAAAAATAACAGGGTTGGACAGTATCGCGGATATTTGTATCTAATTAAAAATTTTGTAAAGTATCTAAGATACAAATTATTTTAAAGTATCTATACCTTAATCAATTTGTATTCGAAATTATTTAAAAAAAATTTTATATTACTAATTTAAAAAATATTAAAATTTAAATGAAAAATTCATTCATTCATTCATTACCACGCCTGAAATTGCACTCACCAGGAGTTGAAGCGTTCATCATGTATTTTCACTAGTATATAGATCCCATATATGATGTCTACCCGTTTTATTATAGTGGACGGTACCACTATGTAGCCAGTTAACAAAGTGAAGAAGGAAGAAGTACAATAATGGTGATGTATTAGTTCCGTTACCGGCAGAATAGTGTTAAGAAAAAAATAAAAATAATGTCATATAATAATGTACCTGCATCCTTAAGTGGTATTTAGTGAGGCAACAAAAAATAATAACCTTTATATCTTGGTAAGTATTGAGAGTTTATGTTAAGTTTGCATGAAGAGTCTCTTCCTTGTTTGTTGTTCGGTGTGCCAAATATCGTTGTCCTGTAGATCTTGTATGTGCTGTGCCAATGATATTTGGGTTCGTCCGAGTTATTGCTTTTTTATTATAACCAGTGTATCTTCTCATTGTCCATTATACAACTAATAGTTCTGTAATTGTTATCGTCATCGTCGCCGATATCGTGTGTCCAGAAAAGAAGGTCGTGGGTTAATAAGAGGAAGTTAAGTTATGTTGTTGTTGTTCAGATTATTATCATTATCAAACATACTTATTCTATTTATTGCAAGAACGTAAAGGAGAAGAACGGTTTCAATATTAATTTAGGCCATATTGTAACATGCATTGTAAATGTTCCTTTAGGTGTTTCTTGTTTTTGCTGAGTGCCATGAAATCTGCAAACGATAGGTTAATCAGGTCCATATCTTTCAAACATTTCGCCAACCAATAGTATTTAGGAGTTTTCTTCCTACCGTCAGGGCACCATTTCAAGGACGAGAATATCATATTTTCCTGGGAGTGTCTTAAGCTATGGCCAGTAATTCTTGTCTCCTCAAGGGTATGAGACGATTGATTGGTAGGATGTTGCATCTATTCCAGAGCATTGTATTTTATGTGTTGTATGGGTAATACGTTTTGGTGATTCTTCTAAGGCATTTGTTTATAAATGTCTGAATTGTGTTGATGTTACTTTTTGAGTCCTGCCAAGTCTCCAGGCCGTAGGTAAAAATGGGTACAATTAGGGACTTGAAGAGTCTTATTTTTAAATTAGTTGATATTTGGTTATGACCATAATTTCGACAGTTGATGATAGCGGAGTCTAGCATTATTCGTTCTCGATTTCGTATCTAAAAAAAGTGAGGCCTAATGATGTTATCCTGGTTCCTAGGTATTTAAAATCTGACACTAATTCTATCGTATTACTCTCATAGTTAAAAGAGTTTAAGTTACGCATCGGTATTTGAGGTGATCAGTTTGGTTTTTGTGTAGTTAACTCTTAAACCATATCCATCACAGTTATTGACAAATAATGATAAAATATTTCTTAATTTGTATTCTGAGTTGGCTAGAATACATACGTCGACCGGCATAACATAGAAAGTTTAAGAGTTATGCATATCATTATGGTGCTGTTGATCACTGTAATATGTGTTGAGTGCATATTCCTGTTTAAGGGATTTATTTAGGATATCATTCATTATTACATTAAAAATGATCGGTGAAAGGATGCATCCTTGTTTGAGGCCCCTATTTGTTTTAAAAGGTTGTGATTTCATATTTAGATACCGAGGAACTACGCTATGATTGTCGTAAATTATCTTAATTAGCGCTATCAGATGCTTATCTATTACAATGTTTTCCAACAAGGACCATATCTTATTCTGAATTATGGAGTCAAAGGCTTGACTTAAATCAATCATTAGGGCAAATATGGGGATTTATGCATTCTGGCCTTTTCCAGAATAACCTTGAGTGCCATAGTCAACTCCATAGTATTTCTGCCCTTCCTGTATGATGTGATAGCGTTAGAAAGGAACCTGTTAATGATTGGTTTAATCCTGACTAGTGTTGTTAAACGGCTCGTTTTGAGCCGATTTTTTAAAACGGCTAACTCTATTTTTTAGGCAGAAAAATATTACCTAAGCCTCGAGATTTCGATAATATATGCCTAGACTGTTGTTCCTTCTATGAGCAAAATCTTCAGATTTGTGTAATATTTTTCTGGATTAAATATTTAGTTAGCCGTTTTTAAAAATCGGCTCAAAACGAGCCGTTTAACAACACTAATCCTGACCGATATGATGTATGTGAATATTTTTAGTGTGACTGGAATCAGTGCAATACCTCTGTAATCTTTAAGGCAGTTTGGGGACTTATTTTTAGGGAAGTAGGTTTTCCTCAAAAATCCATCAAACTGGATAGTTGATTAAGGGGAGAAAAAATAAGGAGCCCTTCACACGTTTTTGGGCAAGCCGCACGTACTTGTACGCGCAACAGTCCGAGAACTGTTACTTAAACGTCTATAAGCTAATAGACAAAAAGAGATGGGCAAAACAAAAGCCTATACCCAAGAACTGCAAAAATAATTTAATTACTAGGGTGGGTGGTGGCTAATTTTAAGTTTAACATCTTTAATGTAAGCCTTAATAATTACTATCAATAATTGAGAATGTTTTAATATCAATTGAAATTAAAAATGAAGGTAAAAAGAGAAGGTAATTTATATTTATCAAATTTTTGAATTATAATTTTGAAAGTAAGGAAAGGCTCCATGATATTCTTGCCTGGACTGTAGGCACAGATGTATTTCACGAAAAGATTATGTGATGTTTGTAGAATTTGTGTCTTAAGTAAGACCATAAAGACCTTAAACGCAATAGAGGTGAAAGCTATAGCCCTATAATCTCGAAAGTTGATGGGATTAGGGATCTTTGGAAAATTGTACATAGTTGATAGGTTGCAATTTTTAGGAGTTATCCCAGAAGACCATACCTTATTAAAAATAATGGGCAGAAAACGTGGTATCACGTCTGATGCAGCTTTCAGTTGTTCTCCCATTATATTGTCCGGTCCAGGACAGTTTCTTTAGGGCAGCAGATATCTCAGCCAGTGTAAAATGGGAGGCAGATTGAAAGGTAGTATATTGTTCCGGAAAAATTATCATGGGTTTTCTAGATTCAAAGACATTCATATAATAATCAGTCCATAGGGACATTTGATCATCCTGATCTTATATAACTTTGTTGTTCTCTAACCGTATCGACGGTAATTTTAAAAAAAAAATAAAATAAAAAATTTGATTTGCAGAAATTATTGAGTTTGTTATAGTCTACCTCCTCTCATATCTTCATCAACCTCAAAGACTTTCCTAGCTACGAAGATTCTTCTATCACTCTTTAAGGACCTCTGGATGGTTTTCCATAGTTCTCTATCAAAGTAATTTGTGCAGCGAAGCTCCTCAATCATCATTGAAGTTGTCATTGATATCCATTCATTCCTAATCGGGGCATTGTTATTTGTTAAGGCCCTGCTCACTTCCTGAAAATCTTTTTTAAACATTAACCAGCATTCTTCAACTATTTTAGATAGGGCTATGTCCTCAAATCTAATTATCTTTTATACAAATTATGGTTAAACCTATCTCTAATTTCTGGTATTTGTAGATTTCTAATATTTTGTTTACTAATTATATTTATTGGAAAGTTAAATATTATAAAAATATAAAATTCTATAATATAAAGTAAATATATTCTATTTGTTTATCTGGACAAAAATTCTATAAAAGTTATAATATTCTATAAAAAATTATAAAAAATATATTTTATGAAACAGAAATAATAAATATAAAATGAAAATGTCTGTCATAAAAATAAAAAATTTAATAGAATAAGATAAATTTAATAGAATAAGATAAAATTTAATAGAATAAGATAAAATTTAATAGAATAAGATAAAATTTAATAGAATAAGATAAAATTTAATAGAATAAGATAAAATTTAATAGAATAAGATAAAATTTAATAAAATAAAATAAGATAAAATAAAATTTAATGGAATAAGATAAAATTTAATAGAAACTATGAAGTTATAAGAGGGTGAAACTATACCTGATCTGTAAGTTTCATAATAAGTTAATGAATATAGCAAAGAAAGAAGTAAAAAATATAAAGATATAAAAGGTGTACCTTCCAGATAATTTATAAAAATAATCATTATTATTAAAAAATATTATATAATATTAAAATTAATTATTATTTGTTAAATCATCTATAATAAAAATTAAAATAATATCAAAATAAAGTTAAAATAAAAGGGCTACTAAATAAAATAAAGATATTATAAGTAAAGTATCATATCAACATTAAAAGAAAGCAACTTGTGACTAAAATTAAGGAAATCATCATCATAAAAAGAAAGCAACTTGTGACTGAAATTAAGGAAATCATCATCATAAAAAGAAAGCAACTTGTGACTGAAATTAAGGAAAATCTAGGTAATTTTGTCCAACCTCTAATTTCATCTAGTATTGATATAAAGGATACTAACTCATTGTCATAATTTAGTTGCCTTTACATATTGAAATTATTTAGTGGTTTGGCAGTAATAATGGAATTCTTAAAATTTTAATAAGTTCGTATCTAAAATATAAAATAAAATCATCAAAAACAAATAACCTCCATGCTATCAATGTCAGGGGAACTTTTATCCGTTATCTGAATAACAGGTTCAAATGCTATTTAGGTCTCTTCCTTTCAAAAAATTCTTCTCATAATTTTCATTTTCAACACACGTATATCCCATTTAAAAATTTCAAAGTCAAAATATTCAAAGATGAAAATAAAGTATTTTAATAAATAAGGCTCATTG